GAAAGAAAGAAAGAAAGAAAGAAAGAAAGAAAGAAAGAAAGAAAGGCAATTTGCCAGATTTTCTTCTCAATAAAACAATCAGATTTGCTAAAGGGGTCAGAAAATGTATCAGAAGTGATTGTAAGTTTCAACCCATCTCTGTTGTAAGTGAATTTGCACCAAAATATGTCTCCGCAATTAAATAATATTAAAAGGCTTTTTTTAAAAAAGGGTTTATACAGATCATGGCATAAACTCCAATGCAAATTAAACTTTTATTTTGCCCTGCCGAGCTTAAAACTGTTTATTTACACAGATTAGATTTTTGTCCTTTCTGTCTATCAAAAACATTCAGGCAAATTTGGTAAATAGGGTGTTTAAATATTCTTTTTCTTCCATAACCAGACCGAATTGAAAATAATTAGCTTGTGCAGTCTATATTTTATGGTTACAGACGGTATTTCACTTTGTTTAAAAGAGTTTTATTATTTTATTTACGCCGATTCTGCCCAGTGTTTCATAATACCTTCCCAATTGTTAATGCTAAACCTCTTATTGAAAACGCATCGAATATTTAAAAGCAGGGGCGTCCGCAAGATTTATAGTGTTACATTTAAAAACTGGCACGAAACGATTTTTCATCATCAGAAAATATCTGCTGCATAACGGAATTTTGCACAAGGCATTCACGACGATGGCAGATCTTCGATTTTCAGCGGTGGCGCGGCGACTTTCCATCTATCAAAAATCCTATCTCAGATCAAACTCTCGGCCTCCACGTCACCAGGGAAATTCCTGAGAGAATTGCAAATATGGGGGGGTTTTTTGTGTTCAAATCTGCACTGCTACTGGGCTGAATCTGCTCCTTAACTTCCACCGATTTGGACTCCTCCTTCCCCTGCATAGGCATTAAAAGTTCCCACAACGGACTTTGTTTTGGAACATATTTGGGGAGTGGCAACATAGTGTGGCATAATGGTTAAAGACGGCGGTGGGTTTCACTTATTGTTATCACCAGTTCGCCATGCACGCGCACCTTCCGTGTGCCTTCTGCACATGCGCCCGGACTCAAAAATGTATCTAAATAGGATGGCGTAGCGCCAAGGGGGGGGGAAGCCTCAGCCGCGATCTCCGCTACCAGTTCACCCAAACCAGTCTGAACCGGCTGAATACCACCTCTGGTTAAAGAGCTGGATTAAGTGTGGGGAGTAGTCCGTCCTCACCTGCATGCCTTCTGCGTATGCGCCCAGCCTCAAAAACGTGGCTAAATAGGACAGCATAGCGCCCGGGCTAGGGGATAGCAGCCCCACCCATGATCTCCGCTACCAATTCGTCTGAATCAGTCCGAACTGGCTGAATACCACCTCTGGTTAAAGAGCTGGATTAAGGTGGGGAGTAGTCCATCCTCAGCCACGGAAGTCCTGATGACTGTGAGGTCCTTGGTGCTCTCTGAGCTTGGTTGTTTCCTTGCAGACGTCTCATTACCCAGCGAGGTTACATCATCAGTGCCAGAAAGGAGTGGGGTTTGCTCCCTGCTTATATGCAAGAAAAGGCGTGTCATTGTTGGTGTCAGGCCTGCAATTATATTCCTTTTAGAATTTTGGCCTGCCACACTTTCTCTTATTTCATTATGCTGNTTCCAGCTGTTCTTCTGCCTCACTGATGTCTGACTCCGAAGGCAGCTGATAACTGACATACGGCTCCGGCCCCCTCTCTAACTCCGACACAGAGCCCTCATCAGAGCCTTCCCCAGACTCCAGGACTGGCCCATCTTCCTCCCCAACCTCCTCACTGTCCGAATCTGCTGCCAGCTCTGCTGGTGGGCCACAACACTTTCCTTCCTTTCACTTTTGCTTCCTTCCTTCTTTCTTTCCTTCCCTCCCTCTCTGCTTGTTTGCCTTCTTTCTGACTTTTATGCTACCATGTCTGAAATCTCTTGGCAATGTACTATTTAGTCCCTTCCTGTTTTCACAACCGCCCCGGGGGAAGGTAGATCTTCCTACCTGTTGTAACCCAGCTCAGCCTAATTTCTCCCTCCCCATAGATTGAAGACCGGAAGGACAGCGATGACGAAAAATCAGACCGAAACAAACCCTGGTGGAGGAAGCGTTTCGTTTCAGCCATGCCCAAAGGTGAAGCCATACTTCAGTTGTTATGACTTTTATTTTTTAAAATCTTCCGTTTTCAACAAAGAGAAACATTCAACTCATTTCCATCTCCTTCCCTCCCTTCTCTCATCTTCCTTCTCTCTCTTTCATTTTCCTTCTTTCTTTCTTTCTTTCTTTATTTTTCCTTCCTGCTGTCGTTTCTTTCTTTTTTCTTCCTTCTTCCTCCCTCCCTCCATTTCCTTCCTTCTCTGTAGCTCCCTCTTCCTTTCCTTCCCTCCTCCTTCATTCCCATCTCCCTCCTCCTTTCTTCCCTCATTCCCTTCTCCTTTCTTCCTTTCCTTCCCCTTCCCTCCCTTCTCTCATCTTCCTTCTCTCTTTCATTGTCCGTCCTTCTTTCTTTCTTTCTTTCTTTCTTTCTTTTTCCTTCCTTCCTTTTTTCTTTTTATTTCTTCCTTCCGCCTCCCTCCATTTCCTTCCTTCTCGGTAGCTCCCTCCTCCTTTCCTTCCCTCCTCCTTCATTCCCATCTCCCTCCTCCTTTCTTCCCTCATTCCCTTCTCCTTTCTTCCCTTCCTTCCCCTTCCCTCTCTTCTGTCTCATCTTTCTTCTCTCTCCTTCCCCTTCCTCCTTCCCCTCCCTCCCTCCCTTTCCTTCTTTCTTTCTTTCTTTCTCCTTCCTGCCTTCCTTTCTTTTTTCTTTTTCTTTCTTCCTTCTTCCTCCCTCCCTCCCTCCCTCCATTTCCTTCCTTCTCTGTAGCTCCCTCCTCCTTTCCTTCCCTCCTCCTTTCTTCCCTCATTCCCTTCTCCTTTCTTCCCTTCCTTCCCCTTCCCTCCATTCTGTCTCATCTTCTCTCTCCTTCCCCTTCCTCCTCCCTCCCTCCCTCTCTTTCTTTCTTTCTTTCTTTCTTCCTTTCTTTCTCCTTCCTTTCTCTTTCTTTCCATGCAAAAAAGGGATCTACTACCAACTAAAACATATTACCTGCTTACTTCCCAGCTCAAATTCCGTTTAGAAAAAAAGAAAAACAAGACAAGGAGAAGGATGACTTCGTGCCTGACCGATTTCCCTCTCTCCAAGGTTTGTAGGGGTTTCAGTCCTTCTAGCCCGTTCTTGCTAACTTTCCTATCGCTTTGCAAATAGCCCTTGAATTACGAGCCTACCCATTGCGGGTTCGTTCATGAATATTCTGACAGTCTCTGCTTCTCCTTCTCTTACATTTCTCATATTTTGGGGGAACATAATTCAGTGTCGTGTTTAGATCTCCAGCCATCCTCTTTTTTCCCCCCTCCACGGTGGGTTTAGCTGGTTATTAATTTTGAGAGCCAAAGGAAGGAGGAAGGAGACTTTATCCAGGGTCATTCAGGCCTTGGAACGATTCCAGGTGCCCAAAACATTTGACTGTTTGGTTTGATCCATCAGACGACTCCGGCCCTCGGCTGAGCACTCAAGCCCAGGCGGCTGAAGACATTCTGGACAAGTACAGGAACGCCATCAAGCGCGCCAGCCCTTGCGAGGGGGCCGCCGTGAATTATGACAGCACCGGTGAGTCTCCCCTCTCGCCTTTCGCCCCTTCCCTTCGGCAGGCGGGCGGGAGAAAGAGAACGACACGCTTACCCTGTCAAATGCCTTTTTTTCCCCCCCAGAAGCCATTGGGGACAACGAGAGCCTCCACGACGCCTTGCAGAACATCTCGGCCGATGACATGCCGGATTCGGCCAGCCAGGCAGCTCAACCGCAGGACTCCACTTTCTCCTACAGGTGCCTCCGGGGGGCTCAAGTACCAGATTGCATGGAGGGGGTTGGGGGAGAAGATGCCCTCAGCTTTCTTTTTAGTGGATAGGAGGCCACGATTAGGGCCCCTGGCAGAGGAGCAGGTCTGATTCTGATTCTTGCGTTAGATTCATTGGTCATTTCCTTCCTTGGCTGGTCTTCGCAGGCTTAAGGACCTTGGGATGAATGAAAACTAATAAAGGGGGGGGGGCTTTGTGTGTCTGTGTGTGTGCACATGGAAATCTGGAAGGAAGGGAGAGGTGGAAGGGTAGGAAAGAGGGAGAGAGATGGAGGAGAAAAAAGGAAGGAATAGAAGGATGGAAAAAGGGAGAGGGGAAAGGGAAGTAGGAAGGAAGGAAATGAGAGGAAGAGGCAGGTAGAGATGGAGGGGGAAAAGGAAGGGAGGGAAGGAGGGAGAGGTGGAAAGGAAGGAAAGAAGGGAGGGAGAGAGATGGAGGGAAAAATGGAAGGCGGGAGTGCGGGAGAGGTGGAAGGGTAGGAAAAAGGGAGAGAGATGGAGGAGAAAAAAGGAAGGAATGGAAGGACGGAAAAAAGGAGAGGTGAAAGGGAAGTAGGAAGGAAGGGAGGGGAAAGGGAAGGGAAGAGGGAGGGAGAGATGGGGGGAAAGGGGAGGAAGGGAAGGAGGGAGAGGTGGAAAGGAAGGAAAGAGGGAGGGAGAGAGATGGAGGGGAAAAAATGGAAGGAAGGAGAAATGGAAGGGAAGTAGGAAGGAAGGAAATGAGGGAAGAAGGGAGAGGTGGAAGGGAAGGAAAGATGGAGGGGGTAAATAGGAGGAGGGAGAGGTGGAATGGAAGTAGTAAGTAATGAAGGAAGGAAGGAAAGCAGGCAGGGAGAGATGGAAGAGAAGAAAAGAGGGAGGGGGATAAATGGAAGGAGGGAGAGGTGGAATGGAAGTAGTAAGTAATGAAGGAAGGAAACAAGGAAAGGGGGGAAGAGGGAGTGGTAGAAGGGAAGAAAAGGAGGGAGAGAAAGATGGAGTTGAAAGAAGGAAGGAAAGGAGCTAAGGAGGGAGAGGTGGAAGGGAAGTAGTAATTAAGGGAAGGAAGGAAGGAGAAAGAGATGGTGGGGAAAGAAGGAGGGAAAGAAGGAAGGAAATACTAATTACTCACCAAAGCTTTTCTTCACTGCTATTGCTTTGGCAAAGAATACTTTCGCAGCACCACCACTCCTCCTCCTCCTCCTCCTCCTCCT